AACAATAGCGATACTGTAATTCCAAAAGTGAGTCGTTGAATCGAGAACATCGAATCCCACGGTTGACGCATACACGAAGCGTTCCCACAGAGACAACGCGATAACAATGGGTTATTGCGTAGGAAACGCGGAACCGACAAAGCAACGTTTCCAATGCTATAACAGAGGATTCATTTGAATAGAAGCGGCCAAGGTTATAAAAGCCCGGCTTCGACGAGAAGTCTTCAGTGCCGTGTAAATATTGTACATTTATATAAGTATGTATTGCAAATATGTGTAAATACAGACAATGGACAAATTACTACAGACTGACTAACAAATGACAGACCCGACCTCTCGTCAGAGAGGGCGCTACACATGGACAGGACAGTAACTTTCATACACAAGAAATATCTGGTCATGAGCCCCAGCTGGGGCTCGACACCAAGACAGACAGACTGACTGACCGTCAGTGGTAACGTGACTCTGACTCTGACTCTGAAGTCTTCAGTCTCGGAAGAGCCAGCTAAGAAGCCAGTCGTGATCGAGCCACCTTAGAAGAAAGTCCTACAATAACCGACAGAGAAGAGGGTCCAGTGTCTCGCCGAATTATTGTGAGCAGTAATTGTACCACTGCAAGTGTAAATGACTGTAAAGTGTGTGTAAGGCGAGCGAACGGAATAAACTCGCTATATCAGAAGACGGCGTGAATTTATTTGTAGCGTGACACACAAAACACGCTACAATATGAATCAGAATAGAATCTCATTTCTGAATCTTCTGAACAAAGTAATGAGTCTTCGGGTTTCGTAAAATTCGGGGCATGTTTTGATTAAAGAAAATCTCTCAACTTCTGTAGAAAGACTTTGTTATATGATTAGTTCTTACACTTTGATTAAAGCCATATGTATTAAATTAACGCGAGATTTGAAAGGTTCAAACGAATTTTCGAATAAGTTAATACCGCCTGAGACGGATGGAAGCAGGACAGATGCACAGTTGTCTGAAATGAGAAAATAACCTCTTATTTTTTTTATATTTCTCCTGACGTTTCCAAAATGTCTTCCGACGTCCCCTCTATAAAGAAGTGAGAGAAAACCACTTGTTTTTCTAAGGAAGTATCCCGGTTAAGACAAGTACAGCGCTCCAGATTTGAAAGAATCTGTACGCTCTATTTTCACAGTTTGTGTTCATAATTGCAGTATACTTTAATAGACACTGTTGGAAGGAAATTATCAATGTTACAATATAATGAATTAATATTTATCTATAACGAAAAATTGATTAACGTAGGATGAATAGATTTGTGGCTTAGAATCCTCAGTAATGAACGTAGAATAAACACTATGTTTTATTAAACTCTAAAAGCAGGAGTAGCCTCACAAAATGTCAGAAGAACTGTGACGTATGTGTGCCATTACAACACAGGATGTGGTGTCAATAAAACAGCAGAAGAGAACCTGCTCCTTGCCAACTTATGAGTCATGTTGCGCTTGCGCACACATTAACCTACACCAACCCAAGACCGCAGTTTTTGAGAGGACGAAGACCTAGTACCAGGAGTTATGTATATATTCTATTCATGTGTACAAAATTGAACGGAAATATAATGTAGAGTGTGCACTGCGATATTCTCTTAAAATATGGAGCTAGTCACATGAATGCCTCAGAGCCACTTTATCAAATGGCAGGACAGTCAAAAGAAATGGCCACATGAATACCAGAGCCATCTTATCGAATGGCAGAACGGTCAAAGAAAACAGAGACAATGGTTTGTTTGTTTTTTTTTGTTTTTTTTGGTCTCTCACATTTTTTTGGGCCGCTCTGTAAATATATCTGTAATATATAAATATTTTTCCTTTACTTTTGGTTCTATATATTCTGATGTTACGGATGCAATAATTTCATAATCGGTATCAGCAGGTTCGAGAACATAGCAGTAACTACTTTTGTAAGCGTAAAATAAAGAAGCGGTTCATGACCAACTTCTTTTTAAATTCTAGGCTGCCATGCGATCGTCTTACCTTGTTTGGAGTGGTGACAGGCACCGTTCAGCGGAGATTTCTTCTCTCCACAAAGACACCGCTTTTTTGTGTCGTCAGGATGCCTCATGCACGTGGTGTTTCCGATTCCTGCACAGTCTGCGTTGGTTTTACACTCTTTCCCTGAAACTACTCAAATCAGAACAGCGATCCTTACATTATCCAAAGGCTTTATCAAGTTAGAGGTATTAGTAAGAAGTGAGGTTTGGCCGGACAACAAGAACACACAATGATATGTTTATTATTGACTAATATAATACATTTATAGTTACATAGGTAAAGCTGTCCCTGTTCTCAACGAATTAAGTACTACGCCATGAAGGCTTATGATGGAGTGGATGTATAGATCCACATTTTCTTGAGCTCGGCACTAGCTGGAGGTGAGTGGTCATATTCATGCCCCTGCCGCTTTACCCCCAGGGAAAATCAGTTAATAAAATTTGCCTAGGCACTTGCTGGAGGTGAGTGGTCATATTCATGCCCCTGCCGCTTTACCCCCGGGGAAAGATCCGTTAATAAAATTTGCCTCCCATAGACAATTTATTTTCAACAGTAATAAAACATTGTGACACGACGGCTGAAAAATAGAATAGTGGAAAAGGAAGAGGCGACTGTTGATAGGCAACGGCGCGGTAAACACTTCTCCGCAGGAAAGAATAAAGACGCAATAGTGGAGGAACTGGCGGAAGAGGTGTTTTCCGTTCGGTCCGCTCCAAGGCTACAGCCAAGACCCTGGCCACATATGCAATTGCACTGCATGCCTCACATGCAGCCTTCCCATTGGTAACGTTAAAATTTCGCCCTAATATAGCCCTCCCAACGTTAGCAAAAAAAAATACTATAATGCACCACTTCCAGCGTCATAAATATATATAATACACAAAAAAATCCGATTATATGCTCTACCTATACCAGAAGGACAAGAGGGCACTGCCTGGGAACCTTCAAAATCGGAGATATAGTTTCTTACCCTCCCCCTCAATGTAGTGTCTCTCACTACCACCCCACAACTTCTTCTTCTTCTTCTTCTTCTTCTGACATATAAGCAAGGACCTATTCCATATATAAAAGTAAGCTTTTAATATTAAACTTACTTTTTAAAAGCCCTAACTAGGACTGTAATACTTATGCCTGTCCCACCTGGGATTATGCTGAGGATGCCCGTCTCTTGAAATTTCAGCGTCTGCAGAATTGAGTTCTCCGCGTTATTGGCAAACTTCTCAGCGCACATAGGCCCGCGAGGTGAACATGGCTTTCAGCATTTCTTACGTGTACAATTACATAACGAAATTATGCAAGAAATAAGCAGAATACATCCAAAATCATGCAAATCCAATTGTACAGGCAATTGGACAAGGAGAAGCAAACCATAGGAATTAGAAGAGGCTTGAACTTGGGGTCAGTCAGGCCTACGACCATTCAAATGACTAACTGCCGTTTCGGAGTGGCAGCATAAATTAAGGTACAACCTGCTGCAGAAGCAGAAAGTGTGTATGATGTCCATAAAGTACAGATGCCTTATCTGGATGCTGCGTGAGTGCGGGTTCACTGGTGCGAAATTACGGTCAACAAACATGGCGCCTACTTAGAATGACAAACCCCTCTTCTCGTCGAAGAAAAGACCCTGTTTCCAAACATATAAACAACATTGTAACGAACAAAAATTTGGTCATGAGACCCAGCGGGGCCGAAATCAAGAACGACTGTGCTGGCAAGGGCAACCAGCAATTTCCTAGACGGGTTGTGGGATTTAAGGTTCAGTGTCAATGAACAGTACAATCTTCCAGAAGACGACTTTGTGTAGTCTGGTAGTCTGCTTTCTACTTCCTTGTTGGACTTACTCAACAGCTGTGAAGATGGAGGTAGTACATACCTCAGAAGCATCTATAATTTTCTACTAGGCTATACGGCATCACGCCCCAAAAACATGCTCTTAACAGATACATGTTTATCTATTTCTTTCCGTTTTTTGATAAATTCAGCATTTGCTGGGGTCATTTGATTTAATGTGAATAGTTCGTTTATAAATGGTGCAGCATTACATAAGAGACATCTGACATCTCACGCTATGTTTTCTAAAAGGTTAGGCCTGCGTGTTCGATGTACAGAACCATGTCACCTTTAAATTTTACAAGGGTGAACAACCAGACATCCAGGTAAGCGGCCCCTAGGTTCTTTCAAAACGTTGATATATGTGCTTTGGTGAAAGTCCTTGTGTCTATCTTTCTGTTTAACTGACTCTTCTTCTGTTTCGATTAGAATCGCTTCCTTTGACTGTAAGTAGCTGTTGGTAGGCATGAAACTTTGCCAGAACCGAACATGGAATTTTCATGATACTTAATATTAGGGAACTAAGCTAAAATGTATTGATCTACTCAAATTTTGGTTAAAATTGAATGCTAATAACGGACACTTTGCATGATGACCTACATTTCTGGATTTATCTAGAGAGTAACTCGCGCGAAACACTCGAAATATTGACCAGAGTGAAAGCTGTTTTAGCTAATGTGGCAGAGAATTGAAACGTGTATATTATTCCAATTCTCTTTCCCATTAATCATATGGTTCTTGAAATATTTAAACCAAATTGAGGAAACACGCCGGAATTGTTAGCTGTCCTTTGCTCTCTAATAATTTCGTATATTATTTTAAGAATAGGATGAGAATACCCAGGTACTTCTCGCTCAAATGAACAGGATAATAGATGAGTGGAGAGCAATGGTGAAAAGATCAATTTTAGGGGAACATCAAAGTACTCGGAGAGAAATAATTTTCAGTGCCATTTTGGCCACAATAAACCACATATCAGTTTCCTTGGGATAGCATCCGGGTGTCTGCTGTGAGAAGTTCGCCAATAAATATCCTAAGCTACGAAACGGCCTTGGCATTTTCTCTATAATATAATCAGGATTCTAAAATAGCCTCTTCCAAATCATCGGATAAACAGAAAAGTCGGAATGTATGTGAAATAATTAAATTAAATTCTTATATATTTTTNGATTAGCAGCTGCTGCACATCCAGCAGAGGGACAATTTTTACACGAGGAGCAGACATTGAACAATGCAAATTCTCTAATATACCGAGCAGGAACTCGGAGACCAAAAGTTTCCAAAGCGGAAGGGCAGAATTTGAAACCAAATAAACTTGAGTAAGAAAGAGAGCATTGAGGCGATGTCTCCTAATACGTAGTGTGCAATTTGAACTTCTCCAGAGCAAGAGAATGACAGTAATGTACTTGAGGAAAGAAACGTTTAAAACAGAGGGCCACAAACCTCTGCTGGATGCATTCCAGCTTGTTGGCATCAGTTTACATAATTGAATTCCGGACTACGGACGCATATTCAAGCTCAGATCTAACTAATGCAGTGTACAATCTGAGCATACAGTCTAGAGATGATAAATAATAATAGTAATACTACTACTACTAATAATAATAATAATAATAATAATAATAATAAATAAATAAATAAATAAATAAATAAATAAATAAATAAATAAATGGACTTAAAAAAATAGAATATAAGAGTGGGAACTATATGTAACTGGATAAGGACAAGGACCCATGGTGGGCTATGCTGAACACGAAATGTCATTTTGGGTTTCATAAAAGATGACGGTTTTTGATCACCAGATAAAGTATTAATTTCTTAATAAGTAATATCTCCTATGAAAGTTGATAGTTAGTTAATAGCACAAGAATTATTGTACATTCTGACAACTTCCAAAGCCGTTATAATGATTCTATATTTCAGACACTTGATTTAGAAACGATGTGTAAAATATCATCAAAATTGCTTGTGGATGTTCCTGTGGGTATCAAGAAAGATACGTGCCAACATAAATGGAAGCAGGGAAGAATTACCCATAAAGATTTATCTCCACACCACGAAGACGCATGAGGGAATGAAAAAGATGCTTTAAAGAGGACTATGCTGAGAGCATTTCCTTAAAGCATCTGCAGTAGTTCAAAACAAATTTTCTTAAATTAATTTTGTTTCGGCATTCAACATAGAGAAATTCTTGGTGTTTTCAGAATCTACATTACACTGTTTTCTTTTTAGCTTAAGGAATAATAGTTGTCACGACAGACTCTAAAAGCTTCTTAGTGCAGCCGTAGTGCGTGGCTTATTCTCTACCCCACTTAATACCATCCCTTCTATCAATACCTACACACGCTTGGCTCATAAGAATGTAAATTAAGTCCAGGGAGAGAAGTGAAATTATTTAATTGCCTTGCAAAATATCAAACATAAAGCTAGTTTTGCAATTTTGATGGTCATCCTGACGTCCGAGAACAATGACCCTCAAATGTCTAGAGGTAACTAAGTAACTATGAAGTAGAACCGAAGGTTTAACACGGTTAACAACAGAGACTGCCATCACACACACATGGTTCAGTCTCATCCATCTTCACAATTTATATTCATAAGATAAATTTTAATTAATCCTCCAATCTCCTTGGCGTTCAGAGTAATTGTTTTAAATAGAAATTTCCCCACCAAAATTCTGTATGCATTCATTTGCTCCATCCTAATTCATACCCAGTCCATAGCAGCCCAATGAATATCACTATGGTAACGTTACTAGGTGACCCGTGTACACCACGAAGCCCCACGTTATGTATCCCCGATTTTACATTTCAGTTTCCTTCTTGGGTTAGAACATTTGCCCAAGCCCTCTGCTCTTAGCTGTCTGTACTTCACTATGAACGTTTCCTTCCAAATTCTTTCCAATTCATCATTCATCCATCGTCACATTTCGATGATATACAGTCAAGATACTGGCAGAGGTGTAAAATGAGCTACAAAGATACATTTAATGTATGGTATTTAGGGAGAAAGAACAGTTATAGGCTAAATCAGCTCTAACATTAACGAACTCTTCGTTTTACCAAAAGAATCTATATGTTATTGTAGTTCTCATAATAATCAGCTATTGTTTCCCTAAACATCGTTAACCAATTAGATTTCATATTGGAGATACATTTTGATTCATGTCAAGAAGAAACTGAGCTTGTAAAAAGTATTTAGAAGATGTTTTAAAAAGGTTGGCACTTCTGACGATGCCGCATAAAATACACTTATGTCTTAGGAAGGATGAAAAATTCCTAATCCTAAAACATGCTTCGATAAATTTGATTTGTTTCATTCTGGGAGATAAATTTTCATGTAATAAAAACTTATATGTCACATTGGACGGAGTGGTTTGTATTTCTGAAACATGCTCTTATATCTTCGTCCTGGATGTCATGAACCAGCTTTTCGAACCATTTTGTCCTTAAAATACATAAAAATCAGTTTTTATAACATATTTACCAGGCCGTCACAGCAGTAAAATTATATTTTACTGAGAAGTGGTGAGATAAGATTAATATCAACTGAGGATGTTTTGGTGAAAGAAATATGGGAGACTCGAAGAGTTAACCATAGATTTCCAGAAGTAAACGATTTTACACAATATATATGAGGGTTAGAAATGGCATCTGAAGAATGTGTAACTATATTAGATGTATCTTACTGAAATTTAAAGGATATAAATGCAGTAACGAAATTAAGATGATTAAGGAGAACCTAATACATTAAACGCATTTGTTTTACAATTCACGTATCAGGTTAATTAGGCCTAATATATGATGATAATGATCACGAGGAGGAAGATGGTGAAGATAAAATATTTTATATTTAATACAAATTTCCTATTACCCTCAAACTTTTGTTCTTACAATAATTCATTCTATTTGCCCCTTTATTATATGTCATGATATCTACGTGGCTTCCTATTATACAGTAATGGAATATTTGACCCTTGGTCTTTCTGTTAGCAACTAAATATACTGATTTACAGAATAATTATATTTTAATCATCTACATCCGTTTCGTAAGACTATTTGTCCTTCCTCCTTACTTCAAGAACTTAATTGATTTTATTCTGGTCCGTCACACTAACAATTACAAATATAAATCACTCCGTCCAATGTGACCTGTAAGTTTTTTACTACATGAAAACCTAACACCCTTACATGTTTCGGTCTCTGTGAACCATCTTGTAGTGATGTTTGCCCTCTGAAGATGGTCCACAGAGACCGAAACATGTAAGGGTGTTAGGTTTTCTTGCAGTAAAAAACTTACAGGTCACATTGGACGGAGTGATTTATATTTGTTCAAGAACTTAAATATCGCGCTCTTCTTTTTCTCATACGTTTTTAAAAATGATTTCGTCACAGAAATCGCTGATTATTCGTTCCCGTTATTTTCAATTTTCATCTTGAATGCTGGTTTCAGTGGAAACATACAGAAACTGCCTGAGTCTAAGAAATTAAAAGTACGATTGTAATTGCGTTTCAAATGAAACGGAAATTTTCTCTATCAATATTAATCATTTTTGTATATAACAGAATATTTAGATTTGTTTGTAATTTTACTCTTTCATAGCACGGCGGACTGTGAGTAACATATTCCTTACTCCCTAGCAAAAATGTTCGCCGTTTTGAAACTACACATCTTCTTCTTGATATTATGCAAGTTTAAATGTGTAATATTAATAACATTTTTCGTTTATACATCACATCACTACATTAATATCCACTGAGACTTACTGTGTACCGGGCGTGATGTTGATTGGTTCTTGGGGCCCGCGTTTTGATTCCCGAAAGTAGTTAAACGAGCGGTTTTCTGATGGTGAGACAGCCCGACACACTCTGCCTGTTGGTACACCAGGAATAGAAGAAGGAGTATTGGAGTAACTGCTTCCAGGAGACCAGTGACTGTCGCGCGCTTCATGGCCGCGACAAGTTTACAACAGAAGACAACGGCACTGCAAATCCTAAGTGACACGTTAACCGCCACAAATTGCAAACTCTAGGTATTGTTGTCTTTGGTTTCGGGAACAAGAAATTTAGTAGTGGCCAGGTCAGGAATGTGGAAACAACTGATCTGCAGCCACTCGCATCAGAAGTCAATCTAACTTGGTGGAGAAATGGCGCGAAAACAAATCGAAGCCTAGAGGACATGAACTCTCGAGAGTGCCAGAAGTGGCGATGAAGGGAACATGTCGAGAAGGAGGGGTTTGCTGCTTAAGGAGGAAGGGGGCTCTAGTAGAGTTGGCAGTGGCGCTGCAATACGCGTGCGCAATTGTTATAAGTCCATGGCAGAGAGGCATAAGACACAACAAAGAAAAATGGTGGTACGTACCCCCAGACATGCCGTCATGCTATAATAGTTCTTGTGTCATGATAAGACGCTTTGCTTTGCTACCACCGCGTCCGGCGCCGCGCGTCTATCTCATGGTCATTACACATGCAATCGATTACGTCACGATCCAGACCTTTATATTTCTTGATCTTAGAGTCTTCTGTCTACCTTCAGAAGTCTATTTATTTCACTCCCACTCCCTTTTGTTCTACAACTTCATTGTTTCTAAAGATACTATATTTTTCCGATAATTTCACTCTCACAGACCTTCAAATTTTGTAATAAATGGTTTTTTTTTATTGAGCGGCGCGAAAGTTTGTGTTTCTGTAAGTTAGTCAAAATGTCTAAAATGACGTCTGTCTGTAGGCGTACAGCAAACTATTGACACTGCACTCCAACATTGTATGTCCTGATTATTTTATTGCTATTATTAGGTAAATACATTATTTTCCCGAGTGGAAAAATTGCACAGACAGCCAAGAATAGCTTATAATGAACGTACTCGGAAATAAGGGCAGAGAAAAATGTTAAAACACTAATATCACGATAGAACCGCTTCTTCTTTTTCTTTCGTAACAAGGATTTGGTCAAATTCCGTTTCCGAGACTGATTAAATTAGTATTGCATTGCCACGCCCTTTTGCAATTTTAGGATTGTCATTCCACCGCCTTTATGAAGCTGCGTCCATATATTGAATTCACAGCTCGAGGCTCTTTGTCTCTTCTTATTTATTTACCGCTACATGTTTCAGTCTGACTACCATCATCAGGTTTATAAGAGAGTAGAAGAAAACCGCTGCTCTCTTGTTACGCTGTTGTATTTTGCTTTTGAGGAGTAAGGTAAATTCCTTATAAAATATTTTAAGTTGCTTTTCAGATTATCGTGGTTGCTTCTGGTGTGCACGCGTGTTTGCTGTATCTGTAATATGTAGTAATGTAAAAAGAAAGTAAAGCTATCCGTGTACCAGGCCGTGAGGGCCTATAGGGTTATGAGACGTTGAGGGTCCCACATTATCTAGACAATCGGCTCAAAGATGGCGGTAAGGTTGTCAGCCTTATGCGCCGGCCGCGCTTTACTCCCCAGGAAAATTATTTAATTAATTCCTGGTACTCATTTCTGTTAGAGGATGAGTGAATCCTAGGGCCGTAGTGCGGCTGGAAGGATCAGGTCAACTGAAAAAATCCAATGACCTCATCGGGACTTGAATCCGCGACCTTCCGGCTTGTAGCATAACCCAAAGTGTTACATTAATGTTTTATTTAAGAGATTGATATGTTGTATACTGCCATTCTATCTCTGTAATTGTAATGTTAAAGTAAGTAAAACTATCCCTGTAACAGGCTCTGGAGACCCATAGGGGTGTGAGATGATGAGGCTCCCATATTTTTCAGATAACCTGCTAACAGAGACTGAGTTCACTTGGCACTGCGGCCACTTCTAGCCTACTGTACACGTACTAGCCCCAGATGATAGATGATGGTGATTGTAGAGCAGTTGGTGAAATGAAGATTGGCAAGGGAAATCGAAGTACCCGGAGAAAACTGCCCCAGCACCACTTTGCCAACCACAAATCCCACATGAGCAGGCCAGAGCTCGAACCCGGGGCGCCGCGTAGGGAAGCCAGCGACTAACAGCCTGAGCTATGGCGCGGCCTAGATAAAGAATAGCAGTAAATTGTATTTGGGGAATATCTGACACAATTTAATTAAGAATGTTTCGTTTTTCTCTTCTCCTGGAGAAATCCGGAAGATTAAAACATGCAAAACGGAATTTTATGAACGTGTACTAGGCCTCTCGCCACTGGATAAAACATACATTTAGGTTGTCTGGGAGCAGAATTATGTCGTTAAAATTTAGCCTTCAGGCAAGATTATGTAGAAAACAACGTAATGAAGAGCTTTATGATTTTCATTTTTCACTAATTGTTATAAGGATGATCCAGTCAAGGAGGATGGGACGGATGGAACACGCAACAAGCATGAAGGCTAAGATAGGAGTACAATATTTGTGTTTAAAAACGTGAAGGAAACTGGCAACTTGGGAAATGCTGGATCTTATGCGGAAACTGTATTGAGATGGATCTTAGTTATAGAATATGTGGGGAGGTTACGGACTGGATGACTCTGAATCACGAAGCGGATATAAAAAAGGCATAAGTAGCACGAATGGTTAATTCGGACCGGATATGCTGAGCTCTGATATTTGCAAAGTGTTTAAGACAAGAGTTAAACCAAATATAGTTGGGATGACTCGCTTTTCGTATAGCTGGTACCAAATTTATATTCGATGAATGGAACCTTTATATTCTATGTGTTTAAAAACTTATTTCCTTCAAAATCTCATCGCCTGTTCTATTTATTACTTTAAAAACACAATACTTGCTAAGTTGTATGAGGCAAGTGTACCACGCCGTAAAAAGCAAATGCTGGTGAGGGACAATGTTAATAACGCCAATCCCGGTAACTGGACTGACGAAAGTTCTTGAAGAACAGAGAAATGAAAGCGACAATATTACAATTTCTCTAAAGAATGCCGTATTCCAGTTTGTGGCGCCGTGTAGATATTTTGTTCTTATACCCTGAAGATGGAGGCGATACTTTCCTCCGGAACTTTGGTAACAAAATATCTACACGGTGCCACATCCCAGAAGACGGAATTCTTCATAGTCACCGCCGTGAAAACCTCAAATCTTAAAATTTTTATGTTGAAATTTGTAGGTCACGCCAATGAAGTTGAAGTCCTCGAGTAACATTGTGAGTTATGAATAGTGTACCTTCAAAATTGAATGCATCTTAATCTAGATTTAAGAACGATTCGTATTTCGAACTACAGAAAATGTATTTTTACCTGACATTTACTCCTCATCTTTTAAGTTCCTTATCACATACATGAAGATGAAGTCCTACCATATCTTAGAAGCCCAATATAACAATAATAATGACAACAGAAACAAGAACAAAAACAACAAAGGGGAACGTATACGCTAAACAAATGTGTAGTTTATATTGTGCTCCTATAGGCTACTTTATCGTAGAGGCTGTTTTAAAGGAAAGGCAATGAAACGGGGGTGGCTGCTAAGCTTATAAGCCTAGACGATATAATGTAGCAGTGGGCAGTAGAATGGGGTGGGTGGGAAGGGTTTAGTGACGTATAATCCTTATGATGTCATTATCAGATTTTGTTGAGACGTGGCGTGAGCTACTCTGGGTAATGTTAAAAAGAAATACGATAAAATCGCAAGTTTGTAACCCATCCTTAAATTTAGAACGTGCGGTCCTATAGGACGTGGTCATGCAACCTGTGACGTAATATAAACCTTTCGTCATGAAATGATGCTAAAACTGTTTAGCACTGAATTACTGGGCTACGTATCTGAAATCCTATGCACCATTTTTACAAAACTGTTAAAAACCTTCGAGTTGTCGAATAAATAAATAAAAAGAAATAAGTTAATTTAGATTGTGTAAGATTTGAGGCTTTCACGGCGGTGACTATGAAGAAANCACCACATATACACGGTGCCAAATCCCAAAAGACTGCTTTCTTCTTAATTGAGGTTATTTGAAAAGAGAAGCACGAAGACAATAGCTGAAACTATGACAGAGAAAGAACAGCAGATCAGAGAAATATGCATGACGTGTCAACCTACCGACAATAGACCCAGATGAAAATAAGATATGTCATCTCTCGCCATAGTTATCGAATGTTACGTCTCAACGAAAGTATTTCTTTGTACCTATCAACATAACATTTGTTTAATAATAACAATAGTAACACCTATAATAGTTAATAATAATTATTTTAAGCCGATAAAAACAAAGCTAACAGGCCGTGGAGGCCCAAAGGGTTGTGAGACATCGAGGCTCCTACATTTTCTAGACAATCGGTTCACAGATGGCGGCGAGATCAGCCTTACGTACTTACTTTTAGGAAGATTCCTGGTACTCATTTCTGCTAGAGGTTGATCCGGCCCCAGGGCCATAGTGCGCCTGGAAAGATTAGTTCAATTGAAAAATGTAATGACCTCATCGGGAATTGAACCCGCTACCTTTTGGCTTGTAGCATAGTACCTTAACCAACTACACTACCGTGTGCCTCCTTAATAAGCAAGAAATCTGTAAATAGGCTTCATGTACCATGCAATCATCAATTTTGGCAAAACAGTACTTGTCTAAGCACAGCTTTCCTTAGAAGATTCTGCCAGACTTGTCTATTCCGTCTCAAATAAACCATCCGAATTTTGCTACTCCCGATTTCTCAAAAGTAATTATTTTACTGGGGAAGGTCGTCAGCCTTGCATTCCAACCCCCAATCTGGAGGACCAGGTCTCTGTATTTATGTCCCCCAGTGAGAGGGTGGCCCTATTTTACCCCCAGGCACCGGGTTCCCAAGTATTCTAATCCACTTCCACAGGGAGAGTATCATATAATATTTCATGAAAATAGAAGCATATTTCAATCGAGTCTTATACCTTCTTTACTTAAGACCAGGGTTCTCTCCACCCGTAATCATGCACTTACTCTTCTTGATTGCTCCTTACTTTATCAGACGAATAATTATACGCTACAGTTCTTAAACCGTACAAAGTATAAGCATGATCGCAATATGTTATACAAAAGTTGTTATGGAAGTGGGCATGCTCTGTTCTAAATACTATGTAGAGTCTGAGGAAAGTCGCGAAAAAGCTAAGTCAGAAAATACTGTCGCTAGGCCGTGATTCGAATTCGGAAATCTCGGGATTCGAAACAGGTGCTCTACCTTTTGCTATTCGGTGATTGTTGTTCTCTTGCAGAAGATTTTAAAACGATAACCTTCACTCCGAATTACTGGGTTTTCGGTCTTTGTC